AGGGATTTCCCACCAAGGATTATGGCCTAGTAATTGTCTGAAATTCGCCTGATGTGTTGTCCAGGTCATTTAACATGCTGGTCGAATTTTCTCAACATGAATTTTCTAGGCCACCAAAGTGTATGGCCTAGAAATGGTCTACCATTCATCTCGTGCGCTTTCTATGACATTCACCATGATGACCTAGAAAACTCAACTTGTGAAAGTTAGGCCATCATGTTAAAATAGTTTAAAAACACCTCAAGTGATTCTCAAGTAATTTCTAGGTTATTTACCATGGCAGTCTAGAAAACTCAAAATTCGAAAGTTAGGCCACCATGGAGAATGGCCTAGAAGGTACATCAGCCTGAAAAAGGAAAATCTTGAAAAACAATTTGGTCTAGAAAAGGCCTGACAATCACCTTTCGTGTTTTCTAGGCAATGTTAAATTAGGCGAGACAGCAAAAATTTCGGTCGACAGTTCGGGAGACGAAATCGCGCCGCGCTTATGTAGACCATCGGTCGTCAGGCGCCTTCGCGCCCCGTAGCTCAGCCGGTCACAGGTCCTGGGCGCGCATACGCATAATGGATGGGCGACCGAGGACGCGCCGATGAATTGGGTACAGGGAAAGGACGCCGGTATGGGGCATATACGGGGCATATGGGGCACACCGCCGCCGCAAAGCATCTCCTCGCCTGGCTTGCTGGCACTCGATGAAATGAACTAAAACGTTGGTTGGGGGTTCCTAGAAGTATTAGTCAAGTTCTATTGTGATGTGATTTTGTTCAGGTCTTCCGATTTCGTACTTTTCCTTTATTATTCCATATTCTTTTATATTTTGAACGACATATTACTGATTTTTCGGAAGTCAATGTTTTGGTTTTGAAAAAGACTTATGGTAGTTTCCATTCAAATTTGATATGCAATCAAAAACAGAAGAAAATGGGAAAAATTCGCTAAAAATTGTTTTTTTTCATTTGTTAAAAAAATATGTCTCACTTTCACTTTTTTTGAAATTGCATGAAAAATTGAAAATTTTTATAATTTAAACTTTGTAATTATTGTATACTTATTAACTTACCTTTTATTCCACCTGAAAATACGATTTTTACAATAATTACAAAGTGAAATCAAAAAATCTCAATATCACCTATTTTGGCGAAAAACATAGCAATTAACGAGTGAAAGACATGTTTCTGCAAGAATTCAGCGATTTTTTATTCTGCCATAACTCTTTTTCACAAAAAACATCGAAAGAATAATCGAAAAACCAGAAATGTAGGCTCGAATTGACGAAAAATTGGCAAAGTTGCCGGTGTGGATTTACGGTAAACAATGGGCGCATCCGGGATTTCGGAGTGTTGTAGTCGGCCTACCGTATCAGACCCATATCGCACACATCGCCCACCCACGCAGAATCCATCTAGGATACGCGCACATTCGGAACACTCGATTCAGCCTCTCCCGCATCGCACACATATGAGACTCATCGCAGCTCGTTGTTCGCGATATGTGTCAAACGGACTTCTAGAGGATCGCATATGGATCGGGTCCTTTATGCGCATCATCGCCCAGGAACTGTGGTAGCGGCGCTGTACCCCTGAGCTGCCTGTCATGAGTACAACCCCACATGACGGTTCTCTATGCAAATTATCAGGAAAACTTTTTTTTTGGTGTCTGGCCTCCTTTAACATGGTGGCCTAACTTTTAGAAGTTGCGTTTTCTAGGTAAACCACATACCTGCACAATAAACGCTCTCTGAAACTTCCGATGCAACTCGACAGTTCTCACAGACATGGTTCGATTGATCTGTTTGCCGAGCATTCGATCAGTCAGATATGCAAATGTCCATATCTCCAAAAATGCGCCCAAAAATAAAGTGCCAGCCCATCGTAACAAAAATCGCGTTTCGATAACCGCAACAAAGACAAGGTCAGCATTCACATATACCGGAATACATGGAGAAATTTGGGTGAAGAAGGCTTTTGCGGATTCTTGATCCGGGATCATTAGATAAGTGGGAAGGAAGAAAATGGTGGCAACGAGGAAATGAACAACGAGCCATGGCCGTCGGAACCAATTCCAGTACTTGTTGGAGCCGATCATTATGAGGAGACGGTTCTCGAAAACTATGATGATCGCCACGACCATGTCTAGAATTTTTTTTCATCAGAATCCGCCCTTTTATCCGCGCAATTGATTGTTTATTTTCGAAATTGTTGAGCGCACCCCTTGACGATTTCTTGGCAACCTAATTTTTAACTTTGACCCAATTTATCTCGGCTCTTATCTGTGATATCAAAAAGTAGCCAACTAGCAAAATGTTCACCATAATATCGGCCATATTTTATCAGTTGATAACTTTTTGATATCATCTGAAGGAACCGAGATAATTAAGCTCAAATTGAGGGTGTTCTACATGCATACTGTTATTTTTGTTAAATTAGCCAAATTTGGATGTCTAAAAAATAGAGTAGATCTTGTTGGATGACACCAAAAAGCTTAGGCCATATTAAACAAAAATAGTGCTTCAATTTTGTTGTTGACAACTTTTTTGTACAAATTCATCGAAATGAGATAAACTGATTGAATTCAACCAGAACCCTCATGTTTCATGTTTTTCAGAACAGCGACGTTTCAGAACTGTGCCGCTTCAGAACCGGAACGTTATAGAACCGGAGCGCTTTAGAGCCGCTGCGATTCAAAACCTAGAGGTTTTGAAACCGTGACGTTTTAAAACTGCGTCACTCGAGAACCGAGACAATTTAGAACCGCCACGTTTTGGAACCATTGCATTATATAGCTGTGCAACTTTAGAATCATGACGTTTTGGAACCGAAAAAATACTTTTGCCAGTTTTTTTAAAGCATTTTTGGATAGACTAGTTGAATACTCAGAATCTCAAGAATCTCTGTTCTCGAAAAAGGTATTACTGTAGGTATACGGTATCTACAGTAACCCACTTTTTGTAATTCAACACAGAATGTGTAGCAATTGTCTTGTAAATTTCAGGGTTGTCTGTGCAGTACCCTGAATTTTGCAACGTTTTAGAACCGCGACGTTTCAGAACCTTGACGTTACAGACCCTCGACATTTTAGAACTGCGAATGCTTAGAACCCTGACGTTGCAGAATCCTAACCATTCCGCAACTACTCTAGAACCTATAAAAACCACTTACGCGCTCCCAACAACAGAATGAAATACAATTGGTCCTGATTCCTGACTCCAAAATCCTTCAAAACTCCCAACGGATAACCAGCAAGTGCCGGGAAGAATATATAAGGTGTCGTCAAAAAACTGAATCCCAAATCCAGAAAACAGCTCATAAAATGAAAATACATCAGACTCCATTTCACAGATTTCATAGATCTTGGAGTCTGGAATATGATACAGTAACCACCATAGATGTGCACTGGAATTGCGATGAATCCAAAATAATGAAGGAATAGGCGTTGAAAATCCGATGAATATAGGAAAAATGTGCTTGTACAAAAATCGAACGTTTGATTTTTGAAATAGTTCACATCAAACATTTATGGGGGGAACCCTTATATTCAAAATATGAGAAAATGAGCATTAAAGTATTCTTTTTTTTCACCTGTTCTTTTATTGAATTCAAAAAAACCGTGTTACTCCTCCCCCAAGACTGCAAAATGTTATTTATTGGTTCTCCTAACTATGTTTTTTTTTTCTAATTCAATTTGTTGAATCATAGAACAAAGTTGAATTCAATTTGCCAGTAGACACGTATGACTTTGAAGAAAAATGTTCTAGAAATATCAAGAACAAACTAGAGTGCACGGAAATGTGTGATTTGTAGCTAACATGCAAGGTTTCTGTACAGCAGAGCGCAATTGCCAAAGTTTTGCTCGGAAATGAAATTACTGACGATGGACTGTAGGTTTAGGTGTACGGTACTGTAGGTGTAGGTGTAAATTTTGTCAGTTTTTAAATCTTTCTGGGATAAGCTAGAAGGGTACTGTGAACCTAATAAAATATTCTCGCGAATGAGATTACTGTAGGTATACGGTATCTACAGTAACCCATTTTTTGTAAATCCGCACGGAATGAACTAATTGACTTTTAAATTTCAGTGTAGTCAAGGTACCCTGAATCTCAGAAACATGACGTTTCAGAACAGCAATTTTTTAGAACTGCAACTTATCCGAACCATGACGATCCAGAACATTTTACCGTAGCTCTTTAGAACTAATAAGTTTCAGATCCACGAAGTTTTAGAACGATACCGTTTCAGAACCATGACGTTTTAGAACTATGAGGTTCTAAATCCCCAAAGTCTTAGAACCGATATTTTTTAGAACCGAAACATTACAAAACAGTGCCGTTTATAAACCGCGACATTTCAGAATCACGACGCTTTAGAACCATGACGCTGAGAAACTGCGACGCTTCAGAACAACCCATAAAGTGCTCATTCTTTGATCTTCTCGAATGTTCTGAACAGTTTCACCTGTTCATTGAAAAGGAAGAATGCTCGGAATTTCAAACACTTCTGATCTTAACTCTTCTGAACTTTCTGATTTTGTGACAACACAAGCACTTTGTACCTAATTGATTTTCCCAAATTTCTAGTCACCGTTCTATTACAATTCCTGGGATCATAAAAAACTTTGTATAAAAAAAAAACTTTTTCATGTAAAACCAAAAAAAATTGAAACGATAGAAGGAAAACAATGACAGAAGGGAAAACAGTAACCGAAAACAAACAAATACAGGGAAAAAAGATGGGGAGATCAGAAAAAAAGATTTTACACAATATCGGGGAGACAAAAGAAAAATTACAACTTCTTGGAGTACTTCATCACAACGTACTCTTCATGAATCGACACCATCTGCATGTTGACTCCACTGCCAAGAAGATCAAATAGGGCCGAGCAGAGTGCATTCATTTCCTTGCAGGACCCATCTAGGCACAGCTGGTACATGGACTGCAGACATCTGACAACTTCTGTAGGTTGAATGCTGTGCAGAGCTTCCAGTCTGGTCTCCGCGACATGGGAGGCGATTGTTTGGAGCACTGAAAAAGGGGGAAATTGAGTACATGTGAAAATTCAATTATGCTTTTGAAACTTACGTTCTGCACTCCATGAGAAATACTTGTTGAATTTCTGATGGACCTGCTCACGAATCTCAGCCGGATACTTGTTGACGGCCTCTCGGATTGGACGGGTCGACTTTCCAGAAGATGGTTTTCCAGAAGACGCGGAGGATGAAGCCGAGGAGTAGGTTGATCCAGCAGAGTTGTATGTATTCTTGAGAATGGACTTTTTTTGAACTGGCGTCTGGTATCCCTTATCCATCATTGACATCTTGTCCCGAATCGCTGAGTATCCAACACGACGATGAGGTTGACGAAGAATCGGGGTCTCTACCAGATCCAACTTGGCGAAACTCTCTTCCAGCAGATCTTCAATTTCTGGAGCTTCGAATCTTGGCGAGTTGTTTTTGATTGGGGTGGAGGTCATCACGCTGGTACGAGGCTTTGGTTGAGGTGGTGGCGTAGCAAAGTGGATGGAGAGCTCGGCCTCTGACTGATCCATAGTTTGGTCCAAATTCCCGGACTCAAATTTGCCGAGTAGTTTGGTTACTCTCTTGACACCAGTCAGTTGATCTTGACCTTCGAATTTCTTCTTCTCAACCTGGGTTCTTGGAGTGTAAAGCATCTCTTCAACGGTCATACGGTAGAGACCAGCGGTGGCGTAGGACGACATGTTAGCACGGTAGAAAGTCTCGAAAAAACTACAATGGGTTGAATCAATAAAAAGTAGAGTAGACGAAAAACACCAAGGGTAGATTAGATAGTTGTGCAACTATCGGGGACCCACCTGGACAGAAAACGGGGCGGAGCTTCCCAAAAGGCACTTTGATCACAGAACGCACAAAGGACCTTTTATAGAATAGCCGTCTGCACCCGGTCATAAAGTGTCATCGCACCAGATCCCTTGTCATTAATGACAGCCTAATTAGTCATCTGGAGAGCGGTTTTTGGGGAAAGGGAGAATGCTACGTCATGGGATTCAGCTCTGAAGGGGCAACTAGGAGTGTTAGCAACTAGGAACCATAAATCAAAAAAAAATCGAGTTGCTGTTTTTAAATTCGCACTTCCGAATAGAGTGCCGAGTCGACTTGAAAATCGACGATTTTTGTCGACTTTGAAAATCGACAGAATCGACATTCAACGATTCGACAAGGCTTTTTGTAGATAAAAATCGATAAAAATCGAAAAACCGCTCTCCAGGTGACTTATTAGGCTGTTGCGAACCCTACAGTTCTAGGGGTCGTATCTTCTGATATTGGCCCACTTGGTCACAAGACATTAAGCTTAAATATAAGATACGTATAATTTGACGTGACCTTTTGAGAACGTGAGGAGCTTAACGACGAACGAATAAAAACTAGGTTGAATCGCGCCAAAGGCGCACCAGTCAGATGTTTGAAGTGCCCGAGGCGCGGCAAACAGGCTGGTATATTAAAGTAAAATCTACGCACGTCTGTTGGTCCTGGTGTCCCGATGTGAACTTTTGAAAAGCTTGAAAAGAAATATAGATTTACGAATAATTGAGGAGTGGAGCGACGAACCAGTAAAACTAGGTTAAATCGCACCGACGGAGCACCAGCTAGCTGATGAAGTTATATAATTCGATCTTTGAACTCTTAAAACTCTTCAGATCCCCTTGATGAATTATTCCTCTTTTTCCAACAATTTTTGGGGTCAAAACAAATTTACTCTCAATTTCCAAACACAACTAATTTGTAATACTATTAACGTCTTCTATTGTATGTGTCCCTTCCAAAACGACAGAATTTGAACTAATTATGGTTCTCGGCTCCTCGGTTTACTCTGCTCCGCCCATATTCCTTTCATTCGTTCTATTATTCATTTTTGTGCAGTAACAATCCCAAAATCATGTTCAAAAAAGTGTTCATGGATATCACGGCGGATGGAGCGCCTCTCGGGAAGCTGGTTTTTCAGGTAGCCCGATTCATTGATTTCAAATCTCGTTGAATTTTTAGTTGAACACCGAAAAGTGTCCCAAAACTTGCGATAACTTTCTGAAACTCTGCACTGGTGAGCTGGGATTCGGATACAAGAATTGCGTCTTTTTCCGAGTGGTTCCGACATTTTGTGCCTGTGTGAGTTGTTACAGAAAGTTGTACCATATAGAAGTTGATTTTGCAGTCCGGCGACTTTGAAACCCAAAATGCTCGTCGGGACGGCGGCAAGTCGACGTTTGGCACCAAATATTTTGATGATGAAAATTTTGAGATTCTACACGATAAGAAGTAAAACACATATTTGAATTAAGCCTATGAGGCAAACTTTCAGAGGCATCCTTGCAATGGACAACTACGGTTGGGAGAACACCAACTCTTCGCGGTTCTATGTGACATTCCGCGAGACGCCATGGATGAACAACTTCCACGTGGCATTTGGAGAATTGGTTGAAGGATTCGATGTGTTGGATGCCATCGAACAGCTCGGCCTCCTAGAAGGAAATGGACCACAGAAGGGGAGAACCAAGGCGAAGATTGTGATTTCTGATTGTGGAATGTATGAGAAGTAACGTTCCTAACTCTTTGATAAAAGTTTCAAACTGATTTTTGTTTTCTAAATTTTAAAAGTATTGAGTAAATAGCAAGCTGGTGCGCCTTCGGCGCGATTCAATCTATTTTTTTCAAATGTTTGTCGCTTCGTTTCTCACTTTTTCTAAATAAAAGGGTCACGTAATTATATATTTATTTTTCAATTTTTTCAAAAGTCCACAGACGGACACGAGGACGGACAGACGCCTTTAGCGTTTTATTAATAAGGAAGATGATAAGAAGTTCGGAAGAAGAATACAAAAAGAAATGGGCCGAACCGGGGATTGAACCCGGGACCTCTCGCACCCAAAGCGAGAATCATACCACTAGACCATTCGGCCACGTTTATTTTCATTTTGGATAGAAACACATGAAAAGCCGTGAAACAGGAAAATCCGATCTTATCATTGGATGGAATCTATCACTTCCTTGTTTCATCTTGCTTTCACGTCAGCCTGTATTCGACTATCTATTTCACATCGAAAAGAAAGAAACATTGTGGCCGAACGGTCTAGTGGTATTCTCGCTTTGGGTGCGAGAGGTCCCGGGTTCAATCCCCGGTTCGGCCCATTTCTTTTTCTCTGCTGGTTTTTGTTCAACGATAAAGCATTCTCTATCAATAAATTTTATGTCACACTTTTATAAATTTTTATGTCTTACAGTCCGAAAAAAACATGTCTTCATTTGTTCAGTATTTACACGGAAAATTCATATTACCGGTACGTTTACCTGGAAAACAATTCATCTGAATAGCCGAAGAAAATTGAAAAAGGTGTTCTTCTATATAGTATTTGGCAATCATATTTAAAGCCTCACCAGTCTTCTACTGTTTTTATCACAAAAAATGTCGGATAACTTTCTCTTTCTAACTTCAATCGCACGAACAATAAGTAACCTGGCATTTTTATCAAGCTCTCTTCTCGGTATCATTTTGATATTTCTGACTCTGTTTGGAGTTCGTAAAATCTTTGAAACGTATAAATATCTCATGATTGCCTTCACATTTTTCGGGATAAGTTTTACGTGTTTGGATGCTTTGTTTCACCCGAAACTTCATTTTTATAATAGTGGTTGTGTGTTTTTCGCACTGTCTTGTCCGTTTGGATTGAGTTTAGAGATAATTCAAGCCATGTTAGGTAAGTTAATACTTAAAGTCATGGTGAAAAAATGGATACTTCGAAAATGATCAGCTTTTTACGCTAGTTTCTATTGCTTAACAATATCCATGTTAACTATTCAATTCATTTACCGTTACTGGGCTTTGTTTTCAATAAGATATCTGAAATACTTCCGTGGTTGGAAATCTGTGGTTTGGGTTGCTTGTTGTCTATTATTTGGTGCCAGTTGGTGGATGTTAGTGTTCTTCTTGCTGAAAATGGATGCGATCGCACGAAACTATTTTAAAGATGAAATAATGCTTCGCTATAACGCAATTATCGATGAGATCCCAGCGAAAACTTCATTGCCGTTTGACCCGAACAATGGAAATTTAAGAAAATGGGATGCGCTCTACACACTGTTGACCACATTGTCGACTGTATTACAATATATGATTATGATCTATTGTGGATGGAAAATGTACACGAAAATGGAAGAAAAAGTGGCGCTATTATCAGATTCATTGAAAAATCACCACCGGCAGTTGTTCAAAACTCTTGTTCTACAGATCAGCTGTCCAACTATTTTTCTTTTCTCCCCAATAATGCTCAGCATATATCTTCCGTATTGTCAAATGAAGATCAGTTTTCCGGCTGATGTTTTTTTCACTGCATACAATATCTATCCAGCTATGGATTCTACAATTGTGTTCCTAACTATTACTGAGTATAGATTTGCTGCAAAACGTTGGTGTTCGAAAACTGATTAATTTAGAGAACATATTTTTACAGGGTTATGGAATAGTTTTCTGCGGAAAATATTTTCGGCGAAAAATAAGCAACATAATTCATCAAGGCCTGCTGATGGACAACTTGCAAATACAGCTTCCACGACAATATAAAAAGAATGTTTTATTTTAAAAACAAATGGGCCGAACCGGGGATTGAACCCGGGACCTCTCGCACCCAAAGCGAGAATCATACCACTAGACCATTCGGCCACAACGTCTCTTTCTTTTATATATAAAAGACATGAAAATCCCGTGAAAAGAGGAATATCCGATCTTATCAGTGTGTGGAATCATCACTTCCTTTTTGCCTTTTTTCACGTCATCTGTATCCGAATATCTCTTCCTATCCAAAAGAACAAAACATTGTGGTCAAATGCTCTAGACCATTTGGCCACAATGTTTCTTTCTTTTGGATATACGAGACATGAAAAGTCGTGAAAACAGGATTATCCGATCGTTTCAATGTGTGGAATATGTCACTTCCTTGTTTTCTTTTCCTTTCACGCCATCTTGCCTTCAATTATCTATTTCACATCGAAAAGAAAGAAACATTGTGGCCGAATGGTCTAGTGGTATGATTCTCGCTTTGGGTGCGAGAGGTCCCGGGTTCAATCCCCGGTTCGGCCCAGTTCTTTTTTATGCATTCCATAATAAACTTTATGTCTAACATTCTGAACAAAACAGTTGTTTTACTTTTACTCAATATATACATCAAAAACTCGTGTTATCGATACATTCATCTCAAAAACAAGTCCTCTGCATGGATAGAAAAAGGAAATAGAAAAATACGTTTTCCTAGGCGATATTTTTTTACCAGTCAAACAACAGGCTCCACAATGAAACTGTTCTGGCACCAAAATTGTTATTTAAAATTTCCTGCTAAATTTTCAAAAGAAAAGAGAATAAGATTCTATGATTACAATAAATCGCATCGAACAAGAAGGCGTTTTTGTCCTCTTCATATAATTCATCTCAACTTTCGAACCACTTTCTGGACTTTGCCTAATTTCAAAATATTTGATATTTTTTCACTGCAAGCCAACTTGCCGCCGCCAATCGTCCGTCCCGATGTAGCGTTCGATTTCTTGGTTATCCAGAACAAAACAGTTATTGTTTTTTTTTCTCAGTTTCTACAATATCCCAGGCGTATTACCGGTTCGTTTATCTTGAAAAAAACTGATCTAAATAGCCGAAGGAAATTGAAAAAGGCAATTTCCTATGCAATGCTAGAGTAACGAATTTTCGATAAATCTTATATTACTAATACACAGTAGGTGGTTTTTGTCGTCTACGTCATGTTTTTCTGATAATGAAAGATCAAAATAAAAAAAAATCAGATTTTACTAAAGCTGATTGAATTTAAAACAGGAAGGAACACATTCGTATTTACTGAGAATTATTTTCTTTTGTTCTACAAAGTCGTTTTACTTTTTATTCCGAAAACAGTTTCTTTTGTCAACGTTGGTATGACGCATAAGGGCCCAAAAATCAAGTTTTATGCGGAAAGAGCAGGTTTGGGAGGTTGGCGGCTCCAACTCTTTCGCGTAAATAGTGTATTCATGTGACGTTTTCTTGTATTGTGTTTCTAGAGGATAAGCGGTGCAAGCAGATAACAGTACACAGTTAATTCAATGACCCATTTATTGAGGAGGGCAGAATAAAAAGACAGTAATTTATAGGAGAAAGGAACGAAGTTTCCGGCATTGGCAGAACGTGGCTTCTTGGAAAGACAGAAGGTTCGGATAAATTACACCTGAAATGCGCGGAGCTTCTAAGATTCAGGGAATCGGTTAGAAGCCGGCAATTCTAATTACGTTTGGGGTTTACTTCTTGGGTTGTCTTGGAGGACACAAGAGGCACAGGGGCCTACTTAAAGGGAACCGAAATACTGGCAGTGCAGGGAAGCAAAGCTAGGAGAAGGACTCTGGGGAAAGCCGGTGACTGTCAATGCGTGGGAGCATTGACAGGAGACAAACTCACGGCAGTAAAACGGAAGAAGTAAAAAATGTAATTAGAAAACATAAACAAACGCAACTGAAAGGAATCCCAAAAATCCTCCCCGAAAAGCGGCGTGTACGGAGTGGAGCGTCGGTGCGTCGAAACACGCTCCAGGTGTATACTTTTGGAGCGGGATTTGAATTGGGATTTTTTGATAATTTGAATGATTTAAATAATTTAAGCAAACAGAATGGACTTAATTAAATATTTTTAAAGGATAAAGAGTGAAGAACAAACGATCTATGATACTCAGACAGCGTGGGCGCCGTGTAGAGAGTGTCATAGAATCGATGAGTTGCCGAAATCATGTATTTAGGTGCATGTTTGGTAACATTTTAAGTGTGTATAACAATGCGCCTGAAGTCTTATGGTGTGAATAGGGGATATGCTTATTATTTAAAAACATTTATTGAATAAGATGGGTACACATTTCCCGAGACCACACTCATAAATTGAATCCAAAATGAAAGGATCCGTGAGGATGATATCCACCCGGTTTCAGTATTCTTCAAACGTCCAAGTCACCGATTGCGAGAGTTTGCAGAGAAGAATACAATACACTCTAAACATTCCAACAGTTAATAGTCATTACTCCAAACTAACGTTTTCTTTTTCTTGTCATGAACACTTTCCGCATTTCTTTATTCGATAGTATGATAATTCCTCTGAAAATAGGTTCAATATAAAACGATTCTAAAGCAATTCTCACCCCTCCACAGCATGCATGAATCCCCATAACGATCCGACTACAAATGTGATGACAGGATTTGTCAAAATAGGAGCGATGAGATAATAAGTGATTTGACCAGTGGTAACGCTCAATCCTTGGAAAAACGTCTGTCGGATGAAATTCAGTTCTCGCTGTTTTTGAGTTTTCGACATCTTGATTCCAGCTGCATGTTAACCATATTGTCAAAATCATGAATTTAGTTTTACGAATACTGAAGAACTTTTCATAGTGACTCGGGAGATAAACTGCACACAATCGATTGACTGATATCAGTAAATGAGATAAGTTGGATATTTCATATGATGTCATTGCAGTTGTTCCAACAAAATGAGTGAATCGAATCGGAGATGTGAAGAATCTAAAATGTAAGGTTAAACCAACGAAACATACCGTAAACATTACAATAACCTTTCTACCGACTTTGAGCCAATTTATCTCGGTTCTTGCGAAAGATATCAGTAACATGTCCACAGACAAAACACTTCTGATATTATGATAAACAACTTATTAATCGATCACTTTTTAGTATATTTGACAGGAACCGAGATAAATTTGCTCAAGCTTGAAAGGGGTCCATCTATTACAGGTTTTACGGTATATTCAGTAGTTACCCGAATTGAACAGGGACTATTAATAAAAAACAGAAGCACATCATCGAGTTACAAATTGTCTGATTTTTGGTAATTGTTCCAAATGAGCTTCTCATTGAGCTCATTTTTCGAGCGGCAAGAAACACATACGTGTTTGATAAGATTCCAGATACAGTAACCTGGAATGAAAAATTGAACTTAATAGTTTTGAGTTAAAACTATCAAATTTAACTTACAAAGCACGTAATCAACACCACCGCAATATAATCCTCCATTCTCGAGGTAAAAAAACTGGCTGAATTTTTTATGGTCTTATATCTAGGCGCCGCAATGAAAGGGGGCGGGGCCACCAAATTTTTCTCCCCTCGGCACAATCCCATTTTTGAAGGCTTGTATCGGGCGTTAGAAACTCATTATTTTTAAAGTTAGACTTTGTCCCTATGTAATCGACTGCGATAAAACGAATGGAATTATCAGTTTTTCGATAATTTCCTTATTTTGATTCGAAAACTTCGAAAAACAGGAATCACACTGACAAAGTGGACTAAAAGTATTGGATGGAAGTTAGTGCCTCCAAATTTTTTGATGGATTCTAATACCGTAAAACCTCTAATAGAACGACACCCGGATCGTCCACTTTGAGCCTATATATCTCATTTTCTGCAAAAGATATCAAAAAGTGGCTAACTAGTAAAATGTTGCTGATATCCTGATAAAAATTTTACTAGTTAACCACTTTTTGATACCTTTCAAAAGAAATGAGATATATAGGCTCAAAGTGGACGTTCCGGTTGTTGTTCTATTAGAGGTTTTACGGTAGTTCATGAAATGGGGGATTGGATTTCAAAGTAAAATCAAATTTCTACTGTGGCGGTTGTGGCGCAATTTCCAACCAAAGTTCCAGACAAAATACATAACAAATTTCAGCAATGACCCCAAATTTTTTCTTATATTATGGTAAAACGCCTCCGATTTTTTAGTGCCTCCGATTTTCTTTCCACCATAAGATAAAGCGCAAAATTTGCCACCAAATACAGTCCTAAATAGAAAATCCTACTGTGGTGGTCATATGTAAAACATCTGTTTTCTCGTCTATCACAGAGCAATTCATTTAAAAAAATAGGGATGAGGCACCACCGGAAGGAAGCGGCAGGCAACGAAAAGCCGCCCTTTCATGTCTCCCATCTAATGCCCACACTCAGAGTGCAGCCGTGACCGACTGGATGGTGGGCGCGTGCAACGATCTGAGGGTGAAGGAGGTTCGAGTCCTTTGTGGGTCTATTAGCTTTTTCTTAAATTTCCTTTACAAACGTTCCGTGCCGCGAGGTTGCAAAAGATAAGCCCCGCCCAAATTTCTGCGCACCGCAAAAAGATGAGGAGAAAGTCAGTACATCGAGGTCTGGTACAAAAGGGTCTGTATCTCGAGAATGGGAGAAAATTTTTCGCTGAAAATTTGGGAATAGACTTCTACAATGGAGGAGAAGACAATCCAACCATAAAAATGAGAAAAAGTCTATTTTGAAAATTTTGTTGTGGTGCCTACTTATATCCTACCTGCTCACTCGTTATGATTTGAAAAAGGACCAAAAAGTTTAATCTATCTTTTAAAAAAGGATAGCTTTGATTGTCAGATTTATATAGGACAACACCTTTTTAATTTCCTTATTTTTTATCTATTCAGAGAAATTGTTTTCGATATAAAAGTTCCGGTAACATCAAACGTTTGTTGTAACCACTGAGAAAAAGAAAACAACCTTATTGTTCAGAATGTTGAATGTATGACACAACAATTATTGATAGAGAATGCTTTATCAGAGAACAGAAATTTCAGTGAAAAAATGAATGGGCCGATCCGGGGATTGAACCCGGGACCTCTCGCACCCAAAGCGAGAATCATACCACTAGACCATTCGGCCACAAACCTGTGTGTTTCGGATTCGAAAGAAATAATCGGGTATAAATGACGTGAAACGAAAAGGAAACAAGGAAGTGATAGATCTAACGCAATGATAAAATCGAATATTCTGGTTTTCACGGCTTTTCATGTATTTTATATTGAAAAGAAAGCAATCATTGTGGCCGAATGG